CTTCTCTTGCATTGTGCTGCTTGGAAAAACTGCGGCGATTGCAAGGTTAGCTCAGGCGTCAAACCAAGTCTTTACGCTGCTGTTTCTTCGAGTCCTGCAGCATCCTGAGCTGTTCGTCGTCGGGCCCCGCTTGGCTGCATCTGCTGATGTGATGCAGCCAGTCATCGAAAAGCTCCTCATATCGAAACCAGCCAACGCGGCCATCGAACAATGGTGGGCGGATATAAATTATCTTCTTGTGATTGGACTATTGCCAGGGGCAAGGCCTGAACAATACCGCGTCCCTTGGACCTATTTCCAATCGCAGAGGGATGCTGTGACAGAGAGGCTAAGGGGCCTGTTGTTGAACGCGCTGGAAATGTTCACGTCTTGTGTCGCAGCTAGCCTTGCATCTTATCTCGCAAAATGCAATGAAATGACATGAAAAGGCCTCTGGTCCAAATGCCATCATAGGCTTGTACACTAAGATTGCCTGCAAGGCCAGTGGCATGCAAAAGCAAGAGGGCGGGGGGGAGGGGGGCCATTGAAAGGGACAAGGGGGCATTCATACTCAAACATACTGTACCCCATCCGGATGCCGAGCTTCACCAAGCAGGGGCGGAAGATTTGCGGAGCCCAAGGGGCAAGAGCATACCCGCTCAACGCAATGCACGGTGTTGCGCTTAGAGTCAAACGCATGTCGAACAAGCCCTGTGCACGCACTGCTGTGTGGAGGAAATGAAGACGTGGCCAGAAATGAACAAACGCCCCTTGGCTGAGCCTTGGCAACACATGGTGGGTATCGTGCGCACTTGAGGCTGGCTTACTTGGCTGCGCTGAGTTGCTTAATGGAATGGCTGGCTCTCAGCGGTCGGTTGCAAGCCACGCTGAAGAATCCCAGCCATGGGAAAGCTTGCTAGCGTGCTTCAAGACGGCTATGCTAATCTCAGGCATCGAGGCGCCATTGATTGCTCGCATGCTGGAAAGGTGGCGAAGGAATTGCAGAGAATCACGACAACGGAGGTTTCGCTTGGGACCCTTAAGCCACCAACCGTTTTGCCTATTGACACTGTGTGGCAACGAAGCCGACAGGGAATCACTTCACTCGGAAATGGAGCGGAACTGGAGCTGGGCAGTCAAGAGCTTTTAAGCAACGGGATTTTCACAAAAGCCACCTGCGCCTGGACACACCATCTCACAAGTTGTGGTCGTTGATTTGTTTTGGCTGCCACTCCGCGTACGATTTTGGTGTGTCCCCCCGCCCAGTTGATGTGACATCATCTCAGGACCGCATCAAGATATGCCGACTGCTGAACCTCGCGATGTGTATTGCACAGGCAGCTGCTGCTTTCTTTACGGTGCTCCGATGGCTGCACATCCAAAACGTGATGCTTGGCTTGGGTCATTCATAGCGGGTGGCAAGCGTGATTCCAATGCTCAACCCATTGTGCTGTTTTAGCAACAATCGTTTTTTGTGGCAGCATCCGTGGAGTTCTGGCAGGCGTGTTTTCAGCAAAGTGTTGGGCTTTGAACATTGAATTGGGCAACAAATCAGCGTTGGCGTCTATACTGCCCCCCCGCCCTTGCCTCCAGCCGTATTGACGGTAGCATCATGCGTCTCAAGTGGGCTCCCGTGAGGAACTGCGTGCAGTCCAAACGAAATGTCAAGGTTATTTTTTCGAGGAACGGTCTGCGCTACCTCGGCTACGCCTTCACGTGCGCGTTAATGCAGGCAGAGCTTGTGGTGCTGATTGCCCCCTACGCACCCTGCCATGCACTAGCTCAGCATGTAACCAGGCCCATTCCAGGCATTTTTGGGCGCTACCTTCTGCCATGAGCGCGTCAGGCTTTCTCAATGTGTTGGCCATTGAAACTGGAACTCGGAGAACATTACTTCTGTGGCCAGGAAGAATTTTTACGAGTTGCATATTCAACCGGGGCAAAGGGGGCTGTAGAGCAGGTGGGAGGGCACATGGTGGAATATGCTTGTTGCGCGGGTGGGCGGTGAGAGTGTAACCACTTCAAAGCGCAAGGGGTGGTTTCTCGAGTGACATAGTTTTCATATGGGTTTGTATTTTTTGCCGTGTGTCCACTTTAGTCAGGGCAGGAAGTTCGACGGCGGCGAAACATACCCCCGAAACATACCCCAAAACATACCCCCGAAACATACCCCCCCCGAATTGTTCCTGTTTTCTAGTTTTGCGCAAAACCTATAGCCAACGATTAGCGGTTTGCGGCTTGAGCGGTTTACGGAGTAGAGACTGCGGTTTGCGGATGGTGGTTGCGTGGGCTTACGATGCTGCAGCAGAAGGCTCTGACTAACAACATGCCAGTTCCGTAACAACAGTTGCAGGCACCGTGCAAGGGTAGACGAGTAAAAGAAGCTTACAAGGAACTTCCGTGGTATGGAACTTATTGAAAGAGTGTTGCTGCACAGCGTGGCTGTGTTTGGGCTGAGAGTAGTGCACCATGTTTGCTGCCTTTTAGCTGCGACCCTCGTGGCGTAGCACGCGTAGTAAATGTGTATGTGGTTACGAGAAGTGTTCCTTGCATCATGCTCTCAGGCCAGCGCGCCAGCGACATGCTCGATTGATGGCGCTTTCCCCACAGAAAGCCGATCCAACGCTTGATTGAGACTGAACCAGATTTGCTCGCTGAAGACTTGCGGCTGCTTGTGGAAGCTGGCTGAACAGATCTTTGTCTTTGCTTGCGCGGAAGGTTGCGAAAGCAGCCGATTTGGGGGGCAACCAGGGGGGCTGTGCGCGGATGGTGTCTGGCGGGGCCAGCGGCTGTAGACAACCAGGTCGTTCAAGAGCGGGCCAGGGAGTTGCGCGGGACAAAATCCCAAGCTAAGTTGGTCCCAGCAACATACCTGGATCATGCCCGAACCACACCCGAAACATACCCGGACAGCAGTTTGCCACCCATGTCTCTTCCGTTGCCTTTCCTGCACAAGGACAGACTCTAGCAACAAGCGTGCAAAGCTCTTGCCGGCCCACGCGCAGCGCGCAGAAAAGTATTGGAAGACAGACTGAACGTAGCGGCGCAGCAAATCAGGAAAAATCATGTCCTGTGGGTCGCGGAGCCGTGGGTTGTTGCCTCAAGATTGCACGTGCTGTGCCACGCCTTAGGCTTCCCTTGCCTAGCAGCCTTGTTTTTTTCCGGGCAGGGTAGCAGGAGACACGGCGGTGGCTCGCGTGCAGGAGATGCATACTGCCTTGCTGTGCGCCGGGTTGACCCATCCTGTGATGGAGCGACCCGTAGGGCTCTGCGACAAAGGCCTCCTTGCCATCGCAGCGCAGCCTCCGGCACACTTCGTCGGCCACCCTCCAGTTGTAGCTCAAGAACCAGTCATTGAACGCAACTACAAGCACGGGGTGCCAGTAGAATTATCGCTGGCGCTGCGCTTAGGAGATGTCATGTCATTTTGCGCTTTGGCTCTTTGCCGGGGCCCAGCCTGTTCTTTTGCGATTGGTGCGGGTAGCGGGCCTGGTTAGGCAGCGGTGCTCGTCAGTCACCCATGTGCATGGTTCTGTAACGATCTTGCATGGAGAAGGGGGGAGCCGGAAATGATGCCCGAGACCTTTCCACGAAGCAAAAAGCCTTCCGACACACACCATAGAAACATACCCCCGAAACATACCCCGAAACATACCCCCGAAACATACCCCCTCCTCAAGCTTCCTGGGTTGGCAACGGCAAAAAATACAAACGCATATAGATGTGTTTCAGATGTGTATGTCTCAATTTGAGACGCGCGTGAAATGTTTCAAAAGCGCTGCACGCTTTCTTGTACTGATGGCAGCCTTCCTCGGAATCGTGAGTGAGCGCTTGGAGACAATGCGTGATCACACGCTTGCGGCCACACGATTGTTCTAGTCTCGGTTCTGATCCACGTGACCATTGTCTCAGAGCGGCAAGAAGCAAAACATGTGCTGCATCGCCGTGCTTGATCAAGGTGCCTTGCTACAAGTTCAACGTGGTTGCCGTGGTCATTTTTACGCACGTGTGGCTGGTCCTGGGCTGGGTCGGCTCGCTGCAAGCGGGCTTTCTCTTCGAAGATGCTAGCTGGGAATCGTTCGTGGAGAAACTCGACTGATCAGCTGAGGCAAGGCGATGCATAGGCGTTGCGCCTTTGAAAGGACAGCTCAGCCCATGCTTGCTCTCCATGGATTGCATTGAGAGCGGACACACTTGCACACCGCCCACGGCGCTTGCCCAGCTCAAAGCCTGTCAGCAATACATGTGCTCAGCCATTTTGCTGTACGTTATGTTTGTTCCACTGCGTGGGCCACTACAAGAGTCGATTCCATGCCTACGCAGTTGTTTCTCTTGGTGGCTTTGTGCTTTGCTGAGGAACTATGATTTCAACCTGCTGATCGTGACCAATAAAGGCTTGCTCATTGCCGCAACAGCGGTTGGCCTGTGTGGCTTGATGTTCGTGCAGATGCCATTCCTCTCGCTGATTTACTTCATCAAGGGCGGCTACAAGGCTCATCCAGACCTTCCGTACTACTACATGCGCCTCATGATGACGGCTCCATGGCGCAGACATGCTGATTGATCTGCTTGCTAGAAACCGCTAGCCGGCTTAGAGCTTTGCTGAGAGACTTGCAATTCCATGTGAAACACTGGTTGCCGTAGAGCAATGTGAGCGCGCGTCTTGCAGCACGTGTCAATCTCTTCGTTGGACTGTCATACCCCTGGCCTTGCACGTGTTATTTGCATCGTGCCAGGCACTGTTGCCTGACGCCTGTGTGAATGAGTTAGTGCTTGGTGGTTTTGTGCCCGGTCATGAGGGCATGTCTTTTCCACAACTGCACCTTTTTTTTAATACATATGTATGGCATCGGCCCCCTTGAACATACAGACGTGCGGGTATGGGGGAATCGTTTAGGGTTGGGTTTGCTGGTAACAGGCTCTGACCCTTTCCAGGCCCAGGCAATAGCGGGTTGAGGGCTCACTTGGGGGGGCCGGCCCTCATCTCCACGCCCAATGACTGGCCGGCACAGCGGGCTGAGGTCTGGTTCACTTGGCCGGCCTTCCCTGCCTGGTGGTTGGTGTCCGCGGAGGGTTTGGGCCTCCTGGCGGATGCCAAGTCCAACTCTGTGGGCTTCGCCATCCTCAACTGCATCTCCAAGGCCGGCTGATCAGACCGCAGAAGCCGCAAAGAGTTCACAAGCGTTTGGATTTCCTCACTGGTTGCCATTTGGCGTGGCATTTGTTTGAAGGGCAGGCTTGACATGTTCTGCCTGTGTTTGCGCTCCTGCCGGCCCATCAGGGCTCCTTCACCTACTACATGCTGAAGACTGGGGCAGACCATAAGAAGCGTTGGGCCAAGCCGCAGGGCGACGCAAGCAAACCCGTGGAGGCCAACTGGATGGTGAGAAATCTCAAGAGCTACGACTCCCAGGGTGTGCTGAATGTGAAGGCCGGGCATTGGAAGGTGCCTTCGCTGGAGCGCTCGGTAGCTTGAGCCTTTCTGCACTCCTCCTCCCCAACACAAGCTGGATTAGGGAGGGTGGCCCTCTAGGCAGCCTCTGGCTTGCGGATCTGAAATGGGCCGTTGAGTATTCCGTTTGCACCCATGGAGGCGGAGCACTCTCTTGCCGAAGGCGTGAAGGATGAGCCGGAGAATGCGGAGCAAACTTGGGTCTGAACGACATGCGTCGGATGTCAGTGCCAGGGAGCCCTTTCCTTAGGCGTTACAACGTTATGTCATCATTGATCTCCTCCAAGTGTATGAATGAACATATTCATATACACATACATGTAGAGAAACATAGCTGTACTACCTTTATCGTGAGCAGTCTTGTCTTGTCATTTTTTCCTGACTGCTGTATCTATCCATGTATGTATCCTTCCGTCAATCAATCTTTCTATCTATCCAGGTATCCCGCTTTTCATCTATCTGTCCATCTGTCCATCCATGTGTCTATCAGTTTGTCTGTCCACCTATCTATCTCATCCAATTGATTCTAGCCTAATTGAACCTACTTTATCTATATGCTTGTCCTGCAGTATCTGTGCTACTCGTCGGATCAGTTTTTATCTACTTGACTGTCTATTCCACTAAGAACAGAAGCTAATCTAATGTCTTTGTCTACCATCTATCCCGCTGTTGTTTCTGTTAATAGTTTGTTAATGGCACACTCATTGAACATATAATACATGCGGTCATATTTTGGCTCAAGAAACACATTCCCTGTAGCTAGGATTCAACATCCCTCGCTACTGATAAAGGGCAGCGAAGCTGTCCAGGTTTGTGGCTCTGAGAACAAAACCATCGTGCTTACCGAGTGAGTGAGCAGAGCGCCAGACGGAGACAGACAGAGAGACAGACAGACAGGCAGGCAGGCAGACAGGCAGGCAGGCAGGCAGACAACCAGACAAGACAAGACAGACAGACAGAGAGAGAGAGAGAGAGAGAGAGACACTGAGAGACACTGAGAGACACTGAGAGACACTGAGAGGCACTGAGAGGCACTGAGAGACACTGAGTGACACAACAGGCGGACAGACAGACAGAGAGAGAGAGAGAGAGAGGGAGAGAGAGAGACAGAGAGAGAGAGAGAGAGAGACACTGAGAGACACTGAGAGGCACTGAGAGGCACTGAGCGACACTGAGCGACACTGAGTGACACAGACAGGCAGACAGGCGGACATAGAGAGAGAGAGAGAGAGAGTGAGAGACAGACAGACACAGACAGAGACAGAGACAGAGACAGAGACAGACAGAGACAGGCAGACAGACAGACAGACAGAGACAGGGAGGGGTATTTATTTTAGGATTTTTTTATTTTTGTTTTGACTTTTTTCGCTTTTGGCTTCTTGGCTTCTTGGCTTCTTGGCTTCTTGGCTTCTTGGCTTCTTGGCTTCTTGGCTTTTCGGCTTTTCGGCTTCTTGGCTTCTCGGCTTCTGGGCTTCTGGGCTTTTCGGCTTTCTGCTGGTTTATGCGGCTTTTGGCGGCTTTTGGCGGCTTTTAGCGGCTTTGGCTTTTCGCATCCTTCGGGCTTTTTGGCTATTGGTTTTTGGATTTGGCTTCCCGCATCATCAGCATCACCACCACCCTATTTGGGGAACCCCCCCCCCAACCCACCCGCTACTGTTTAGATTGTTTGCAGAGTAATTGCACCCCTATTTGAATCAATTTTTCTTCAAACATCATGGGGGGGTTGCCACATCCCCCCGTTACTTTATAGATTTCTTACAGAGATTGATTTGCACCCCTGTTTGAATCACCACTTTTTCGAGCGTCCAATTTCGCGAGAAAATGCTGCAAAATACGACATTTTAGGTAATCTGTGCAATCCACGTATGTCTGTAGGAATGCATTTCTTCGAAAATCATAGGGGAAGCCACCCCCGCTAACCCTCCCGCTGCCTTTTAAATTCTATCACACCCTTTCTTGAATCATTGCACCCCTAATTGAATCATCACTTCTTCCGACATCATGGGGGGGGGCCGCCCCCACCAACCCCCCCGCTGCGTTTTAGATTTTCTACAGAGATTTACTTAATTGCACCCCTAGTTGAATCATCAATTCTTCGAACATCACGGGGGGGGGCTGGGGGGCTGCCTTTTTAGACTTTTTGCAGGGATTTAATTGCACCCCTATTCAAATCATCACTTCTGCAAACAACATTATGGGGGGGGCTGCCGACCCCCCCCAACTCCCCCGCTACTTTTTTATTTTATTTTTATTATTATTATTTTTTTACAGGGGTTGAAAGGCCCTCCATTTGAATCATCATTTCTTTGACCCCGTCACACGATTTGTTGGTGATGCTAGGGATGTTGGTCGGACATGCGGGGGATGTTGAAAACGATGCTGGGGATGTTGACGGGCTAATGCATCAATTTCGCGAGAAAATGCTGTAAAATACGACATTTTGCTGGCCCGGCAGAGATTGAATTGCACCCCTGTTTGAATCATCACTTTTTCGAGCGTCCAATTTCGCGAGAACATGCTGCAAAATACGACATTTTAGGTAATCTGTGCAATCCACGTATGTCTGTAGGAATGCATTTCTTCGAACATCATAGGGGAAGCCACCCCCGCCAACCCTCCCGCTGCCTTGTAAATTCTATCACACCCTTTCTTGAATCATTGCGCCCCTAATTGAATCATCACTTCTTCCGACATCATGGGGGGGGCTGCCCCCCCCCCCCCAACCCCCCCGCTACTGTTTTTTTCTTTTTCTTGAAATGCCCTCCTGCTTGAAGCATTTTTTTTTTGACCCCGTCAACCCGCCAGCTACTTTTTGGATTTTGTTACCCACGATTTGTTGGTGATGCTAGGGATGTTGGTCGGACATGAAAACGATGCTGGGGATGCTGACGGGCTAGTGTAAAATGCGTCAATTTCGCGAGAAAATGTAAAATTCGACATTTTTCTGGCCCGGACGAAAAACGAGAAAAGAAAAAAAAAAAAAAGCAGCATTCCCAAAATAAATGCGCACCACAAAAACAGACAGACAGACAGACAGACAGGCGCAGGCACATGCGCAGGCGCAGGCGCAGACGCAGACAGCAAGCCCAGCCCCGCAGAACATGGAACATCATCGTCACCAGGCATGCAGAAGTCAAGGTGACAAGGTGTCAGCGCTTTAGCCTTGTTGAATTCACCCAGGCAAAGGAGACAACAGATTGTGAATCAGTGAACGGTGCAGGTTTGCACTGTATGCAAGAAGAAGATCCGGAATCACAGGTCCAACCTAAACAAGCAGTGGACCTGTTCATCATGATGGTCAAAGAAGGGTATGAAAGCCCAACTGCTACAGTTGCTGAACCATTGTTTGAGATAGTCATATTGGCTCGCTGACTGCTCGGCACCCGCCAAGCTGTGCCGAAGACTCACGCTGCATCCGTCTACCCGTCCAACTGTGCCGGGACCTTGGCACGAGCACGAGAATGGCCCAGGTTTCAATCCTGCACGGCTTGGTGTGTCATAGTTTCCTGGAATTCCATTGCAGGAGGTGATTCAAGAGCCAATGCAATGTACCACCAGACGTTTGCCCCTGAGATAGAACCCACATTCACTGGAAACAACATTCCTGCATCAGAAGTTGCAATGCAACAGAGTGGCAAGTGGCCTCTCGGGGCAGTCTCGTGCAACAGTTTTGTCACATGTTCCCTCGTGCCTCGGCTTCGCTACGCCGGTGCCGGCAAGGCGTCACAGGCGGCACAGGCGGCAGGCAGATTCTTTTTAATCAATCCAAGTGGGTGGTCACCCAGGGTGTTTGGCCTGACTTGTGCGGGTCAATCTGCTCAATCTGCTCCTGGGACTGGAAGTGAATCTCGTTGCCACAAAGTTGAGCATTCGTCCCAGATGCGGGTGCCCTCACCCACTAGCCCACCGAAATGTGAGGTGGCTCCAGATCAACACATGACAGCACGAGGGCTTCGCGCTCTTTATCGCTCCGTGTGTTTTTAACAAGTTCATCACGTATCAGACTGGCGACCCCACGAATGGGTGGTCTTTTCCCGGTCATTGCTTCAACTACCTTCGAGGGATCTTTCATGCGAATTGCCGATGCACACAGATTTTTGGGCTTGCCAGTGGTGCTAATCTTGGGCCTGATGGATTGGACGCACATGTTCTTGTCCGAGTGGGTCAATAAGTAAAATTGTGCTTGCTTAGCCATGCCGCGCTCTTGTAACTTATAACCCAGGTACTTCCACCACAATGCCGAAGTCAATGTGTTTGCAACCTGAGAATTTCGCCGTGACATTGGAAGTGCTGCACTGCCTTTTTAAGCGCATTTAAGCGCATTTCTTCGTGGAAAGGCCCCGAAGAAGCTTCAAAAGCTGATGCCGCACATTTGGCGCGGCCAGTCAAGAGGCTGTCCTGGTGCCACACGCTTCTGCGAGCCATTTCAAAGATTTGGCTCCAGATAGACCTAAAAGGAGGAAATGGAGACTTCAAAGGCCTGGCTTGGTTGGATTTGCCTCTGAGACGGTTTGCTATTTTCGTCAAAGAACGAGTTGCCAAACGTCCCTTCTGTTGCGAAGGAGTACGTGCTTGGATTTGAGCGGACCCCAGATGGTCACTCGTAAAAGGTGCGGGGCTGAAGCTCAGCCCGGGGAGTCAAGGACCGCCGAAAGGAGTTTTGGCTTCAGCCTCGTCCCTGCTTCAGAGCTATGGCGAACCTTGAGGCCTGGGACCAGCGCGGGTTGGTGGGTCCAAAGATACAATTATATATATATATATATACACATATATATATATATGTGTATATAATCAGTGAAGCAGGGACGGATTTGTGAAGCTTGGCCCCCAGTTGCTTCCACACGTTTACGGACGGCTCGGGGTTCGGTACGACTCACACCTGTCCACCCAAAGAGGCAGCAGCAATGCACAAGAAGAAGTGGCGTGCGCTGACACGCGTGGCAACAATTAGTGAGACTGCTTTACTGACGGGCACCTGCATACGGACAATTTGCAATAAGCACATTGCCTTTGCTGCCCAAACCGGTAGATTCAGGACATCAATCAAACAGAACTGCTAGTGACATCGCCATCCAAGTCATTTCGTCGTCGCTCGTGGCGGGCCAGGGGCTGAATGACTTCCAGCTGTTCAAAGCTTGCGGGCCCCTCTACCCGGTCTTCGCCCTTGAAAGTTTGGCAAGCTTCTTGGCACTCGAGCCAAACGGGGGTAAGTCCCGAGGCCAAGGCCAGACCGCCATTGTGCTCTTCGGCCGAGGTTTTTCCGAGAAAAAAGAAGTTGCACGTTTGTCATGTGCAATGGGTTGCTTCTCGGCAATCCTGCTGTGACATGGTGAATGTCAAGCATTGCCAAGTTGTCCCCCGCTTGCAAAAGTTGCCAAACAGGACGGCACGTGGATCTTGAGAAGCTGCTTGTTCATCACCCCTTCTATGGGCATACAGGCTAGCTGCAGATGCCCCAAAAAGCTTCCAACACCCGCAACATTGTTGACAAAGCTGGCAGGTCATGAATATTTGGCTTTCATGCCTTGAGCTATTTGTTGTGTTGTTGCGCAGCCGGCTCACCTAGGCAGATGTTGCCCAAACTCCTGGTTGAGTCACTTTCGGGGATTGTGCTGTCAGGGAGGCTCACATGTCCAACTTGTTGACAACTGGGGGGTCGCTTGTTGGATTGGTTGCACAAAATGCACATACCACGGTGGCGAGTTCAGTCCCAGGCGTTCTCATGGGAGTCTTCTTCTGCTACCTGGCCCTGCGCATTGCCGTGCGCACCGACACTTCAGCCTTAGAGGTCTTTTCTTTCAGGTGGGTTCAGGTACGTTCAGGTGTTAGAGCGCGCTAGCGAAGAGGCGATTGAACTGGTGGATGCGCTTCAAATCGATATGACTTGTGCAGTGCAGCTAGGGGTCAACATCTTAAATGCATTCTGCGCTCGCCACACGCCATTCACACGCCCTTTGTGTTGCTCAGTGTGTTTGTTCATTTGGCAGCCGAAGGAAGTCAATGCCCCAGCGTGGGCAATGTATCGCTGGTTCTTTGACACCATCAACCCGTCCTTCCAATTTTGGTGGAAGGAGTGGTAGCGGCTGGATGGGCTGAGGTGGGCGAAGGGAAGCTACTTCTTGTAATGTTTTAAGTGATGGGCATCTTTCTATTTCAGATGGTTCTTGCTTGCCGTCTAAAGAAACTAAAGTCTGTGTGAGGATGCATGTTCTATGGGAATGTGGCTGACCAGCAGATGGCAGGAAGTCAAGAACTGGCCGAAGATGTGCAATCGGCCATTGGCCGCGCCTTGGCTGTAGGCGAGCAGTGGCAAGAACAGCATGAATGATGCTTGCATTGTTCATTTGCGCGGCTGACTTGACTTACTTGTGAGCCCGCTGCCAGCTCTGAGCCCAACTTGGGTATGGGAGTGCACATCTTGCATTTCCTCTCCGCACGCGCACATGGTTTCTTTGAACTGCCTTTCACGCTCCTGGAGACACCTTCTTGAAATATTTGAAATAAGCGGGTCCCGTCAATTGGTAGCCAGCAACTCTGACAAGTCTCACCCCAAGCGCAAGGACCGCGTGAACCTGTGCCAGATGCTGAACCTGGCCATGGTCATCGCCCAGGCAGCTGCCTTCTTCATGACTGCCTTCCGCTGGCTCCACATCCAAAATGTGATGCCCGTCGTAAGGCTGGCGTCCTGTTTGCCAGGCTGACAGACTTGGCATCCCTTTGCAAATGACCTGTGTAAACGAGCAAGTTCAGTCAGGGCTGGCTAAGTTTAGGCCGTGGCCGGCGGCTAGTTTGATTTGGCCAGCTGGTTGCGTAGGTTTGGCGCATTGCGCTCTCACAAAATCTCATGTGGGGATAAGTTCTGACAGCACAGCATGGGGTGGCCATTTGCACAGCGGCATCAAGCAGCTCAACGCTGAAGGCTGCAGGCAGCAAGCGCTTCTGACGTACCGTAGCAAGTGGTCAAGGCTCCCAATGCACAGGATTAAGGATTAAGCATGTCGCTCTCGGCATCCCCAATCAACTTGGCCAGCACACGGCCAACTGTTGGTGGCACCATGCTTGCTGAAGTCCTGAGAAGTGTTGTGCAAACAATGCGGACGTCAGGCATGCTCCACAATGAAACGAACCCCAAAACAAGAGAGCACCCTTCTTTTTGCCAATATCAAGGCTTGGTGTGTCCGCCGAATCCGGATCTATCTGAGCTGGTTTGAGGTGAGTGTTGCTTCTTAATCACCAAGAGAAATACGCAGAAGATATTCCATAGGCGCCTCCTCTAATGGCTCACAGTCGCACTTTTTGGATGGATACATAAAATAACATTGTCCATCATGATCCATGTTAAATGCTCGCGCGATACCTTCTTAGATTAAGCAAAATGAAACCAACACTGGAAAACAAAGCTGTGTACGGCAAGAGCAAGAGGTTCGTTGCAAACTTGGTGGAAGAAGTAGGATGGCAGAGATTGCATGGCAGAGATAGCATTTTAGAAATTAGTCTCTCTTACCAAACCAGGCCCAACACACGGCAAGCGTCTTGACTGAAGGAACGGCCTGCGATACCTGGCATATGCCTTCACGTGCGCCGTGATGCAGGCAGAGCTGGTTATCCTCATTGCGCCTTACGTGCCTTTGGTGTATGGCCCAAGATCCTCTAGTTCCTTGTTGTTCCATCGATTTTGGGCAGTTTTGTTTGCTGTTTTCTGCCAGGCAGCCACGCAGAAGGAAGATGTTCGCCATGCGTGCACGGTAACGACACCAGAGGATATGCACGAAATCCCCTAATCTACAGGAGCGCGATTGTTCATGAGTCCTGGCATGTCCCCAAGTCAGGCTTGTGTTTGGCCAACCTTTTCCAAGCCCCCAACCAGCATATTGCATTCTAGAACTGTCCAATGTCATAGGTTTTGACGCTTTGAGGCTTCAGCTAGGGCCGAGGGAGGACTTCAGCAATATCAACTCGGGCAGACAGGTGTAAAGCAGGGCTTCAGCTGAAAAGGCACATAGTTAACGAGGATGTGAAGCCGATATGCTATGAGATTGAGCCGGTGCTCGCACAGTTCCTCTTTGCATCGATCCAGGTTCCATGCTTCAGATTCAACGTCATCGCGGTGGTTATGTTCACGCACGCGTGGATGATTCTGGGTTGGATCGGCTCACTTCAGAGCGGCATGTTGTTTGAGGACGCCAGTTGGGAGGAGTTCATCGAGATGCCTGGCTCAGATGTTGCCCGAGGCCTCACGATTGTTTTGTGGCATCGAACCGGCAGGGCAAAACACAAGAACGTTTAGAAAAAACACGTGTTTGACCGCGCCAGCCTGTGCAAGACAAGTCTTTCTTGATCCTCCCTAAACGATCCCCTGGTGCACCAACGACTTTTTCGGGCCCTTGGAAAGCCTTTTCAAAGGCACGCACAAAGTCATAGCCAAAGCATGTAGAGCAATTTTGCAGGCCCCGCCTTGTTTTGGTCATTTTTGGTTTGTTGTGTGTCGAGGTGTGTTTTGTTGTTCACTGTCCTGGCTTCAGCGCAAATTCAATTTGGCAGTTGTGGCTTCAGTTTCTCTCCAACCCAGGAACTACGATTGGTCTGTCCTCGTCGTGACCAACAAGGGGTTGCTCATCGGATCGACCACTGTTGGAATGTTCGTGGTGATGTTCATTCAAATGCCGTTCCTTCTCTTGATGTATTTCCTCGGAGGCGGCTGCCGTGCCCACCCAGACCTTCCATTCTACTACCTTCGTTTGCTGGCCGTAGCGCCTCGCCAAATGCGCACAAAGAGCTGCAGGGAACGAACCGACAAGCTGCCAGAAGCTGCCAGAAGCGCCACAAGCTGCCAACTCATTTTGCAAGGCGCGGGTGCAGAGCTCCTTAGTCACTAAGGTTTGGACCACCTGGCCAGCCTTCCCTGCCTGGTGGCTGGTGTCCGCAGAGGGCCTGGGCCTCCTGTCAGATGCCAAGTCCAATGCTGTGGGCTTTGGCATCCTCAACATTTGTTCCAAGGCGTTGGGTGGGACCCAGCGGGTGCCATCAAGACATTGAGTCATTGACTAGTTTGGAGCAAGCACCTCCAAGAGAACTGGACATCAACTGTGAGGGCCCTGAGTGACGGAAGCCAACGCCCCGCTCCCGGTTTTGGACCAACATGGCTTCGCATGCAGAGATCCCAAGGTCGAACCTTTCAACATGCCCATCTTGAAAGGCACCCTGCCACACATGCTAGTTCAACAGCTGCAGGTGCCTGCATCGGCAGCCCTCCTCTTGACTTTTGACCGCGTTCAACTCAATTTTACACGCACAATTGGGACAAGGATGGCTGTCACATTCATCACTCCCCTTTTGATTCTCGATTAAAGGGCACTGAAGGCGGTGCAAAGCAGTTTCTCGGATCAGGGCGCGTTCACCTACTTCATGCTCAAGATCTACGCTGATTATCAAACGCGCTTTCCAAAGCCAGACGTGGGCCAGAAGCCGCCGGAGCCCCCCAGGATCGTGAAGGCCCTGCAGGAGTTTGACAGCGACGATGGCAAGGCAGGGCCAGGATGGGCAGTGAGTCTCACCGGCCGGCGACTTCCGCCGAGTGTCAAACATGGAAACACCAAAGTCGCCAAATGGGCACTTTCTGAGCAAGCAGTTGGGGGAGTGCTGAATGCAGGCGTGAAAGAGTGGGCTTGGGGCTTGCGGAGTTGCGTGTGCTTGAAGCACCCTTTCCCCAAGCATTGTGGAAGATTCATGCATCCCTGCATCCCCTTTCTTACCCGTTCGGATGTTGTGCCTGGCAACCTTCCAGGCTTTGATCACGCAGAAAGCCAAGAGGGCGGTGGCCAAGGCGCAGTGCCGTTGATGGCATTTGGACAGGGCCAGTTGGAACTTCGAGTCTGGCAGAGGCTACAGAACCCTTCTTTCTCCCCCTGTAGGTCACATTGAAACAGGATATCGCCAAGACAAAGGGTTGTGTAAATTGACAACCTCACGGGGATGCTTGGAAGAATGAAGCTTGGGCCATGACCTACCCGTGCGATTTGTATAAAATATCCCACAAACTCACGCCAGAGAGGGCCTGCAATCAAACTCACACCAGACAGGGCCCATATTCAAACTCGCACCAGGCTCAGTCGCTGGAGCCTGTAAAAGAAGAGGCTAAAAGCTGATCCTTCTGAGCAAAAGACCCGGCCCTCGCGCAGTATTCCTTTGAGTCGCCTCTGTGTTGCCAATTGGCCACCAGGGAGCGGTTTCAGTTTCAAAGCCAATGCATGGATCCGCGCAGGACGTGGCAGAAGGGTCTGCCTGGAAGGTTGCCGCATTACTTGGCAGGACACGCTTTTTGTTTCTTCCTGAAGGTATTTGGCACAATGTTGGGAGCATGGCGGGGTTGACAACTGCAATTACCCATGAACCGGTACTGAAACAACAATCTAGCAACTCCGCTGCAGAGCCTGGTAAGCAGGCTTTGCATGAAGGGGTGCCCGACGAAACCGCCGTCACAGCCCTGGACATGATGAATCCTTGAGCGGGCAGGTCTTGTCAGCGTCCTACGATTCTACATGGTCCTGCTTTTTGGTCCCTTAACCTTCTGCGCGCTTGCAGCCGCAAGAGCCTTACTTGTTTGTTTTGGCTTGCACTGTGAGGTTCCAGCATGTTGGTCCTGCAATTGCTTTCAGAGCGCGCGCTTGAATTAAAAAGTCAAAACCGTGTTTGGATGTTTTTGGCACGTGCGTGTCATGCAGCACCTATTGAGGCGGACTCCCCCGACAAAAAGGGGGTAGGTGAAACTTTCGGCAGACCGAGGGCCGGTCTGTGCCGGTTAGGGCACAGGCAGCGAGCAGCCCCAACAAGGCTGCGAGCTCGAGTAACTGAGCCACCGAAGTGAAAGAACCACGTTGTACTTCATGTTTCAACTTAAGGCAGCCCAACATAGAAAACAGAGGCAGTTGTGGGGTGCCCAGCTTTGAGCGGTCCATTCGTCGTGCCCCTAGTAAATGCAGGAAAGGAAGGGGGTTGAGTGACATCAACATAGTCGCTAAGTTGCTCGCGCTTTTCGCCGCTGATCCTGCTTGAAGATCAGTGATTACCTCCACCGAGGGTTTCGCCACGTTTTACTCGCAGAGTTGTGGCACAAGACAAGTTTGCATTCCACGGCTTCGCGCTGCTTTAACTTTTAATTAGGGCCCTCGGTGGGATCCAAAGCTGGCCTTTCTGGCATCCACCTCACCCAAAAACGGCTCCAAATTAGACTCGCCTGGCTTCAGATTGACTTCCCGCCCGAGCGGCCCCAGTTTGAACTCAGCTGGATGGCATGCTTCTACAGGACAGTTATTGACGAGCTGTTGAGCATGTGTGTTTCTGTGTGTGTGCAGTGCTTTGGCCACACACGCCAGCTCGTGCACATCACTTGGCATGGCCAGCTGGGCAGCCCGAGTTTTTAAGCCGGGGTCGGGCCGGAAAAACTGGCAGCAACTCCAGCAGAGGATATTGCACATTCCGTCAAGACACACAAAGGAGGGACAGCCATCACAGACAAGCCTCTTGGAAGATGTTTTCTTTGGCTGGGTGTAGTGCAAAGATTGGTGCCAAGTGAAACACATACACTTGCCTCAGCCTTGCGCTACCCACTTTAGGCAAGTGGACGCTTTGAGTTGCGTTCCTGCTCTGACAGAGGCAATATTCTGAGTTGGGCTCTATTGTGGAGGCAACATCGTTTGATTGCTGGCTTTATGGCCTGATGACTCTTTGGACACTCATTGTAGTAGTTTTGATGACGGGTGTTTTTGATGCTGCAATTGAGTTCAGCTTGTGTTTTCGTGTGCATATTCCGTATCAGCATGGCGATGCTTGCTGGCCAAACTGAAGCTCTGACTGCGTGTGCCATGTTCTCGCTGAGGCCGTCACAAGGCCTATTCACACTAGCCATTGGAGTCGGAGCTCTCCCGTGCAGAGCTGCTGTCCTATGGCCAAGCGGCTTTGCAACATCAAAAGTCACACCAGCTCAACCAGGAGGGCCGCTTGAAATTTGATCAAGTGGGAGCAGCCATTCTCATGGCAAGTGCGCAGATTGCCTGCAAGGAAGAAGTGATCAAAAAGTGTTCGCTGCATTCAGGAAGCGGCCCGTCTAATGTGGAAATGTACATTGTCACTGAGACACACTGTTTGTCCAGACCCTGTCCAGACCTTACGAGCCAACCTGCCCCCAGTTAGTGCTGGCAACATGTCCCGCCCTGGGCAGAAGGCCTGAATAGGGCGTTTGCACCCTTTGCCAAGCACTCAGCGAGGATGTGTTTGCCCAGCTACATGTACGTACCAAAAGCAGCTGTTACAGCAGGGGTGAAAACATGTGACAACGACACAGGACACCACTGCAATCGTGAGCAACCTTGACGTGGCTGCGACTTGTCAGGTTTTTGTGACATGTTCCCCTCTCCCAACGTCCCGAGTGCAGTTGGAAGCCTCTCTTGATGCCCCTGCCTGTCAGCCATTTTTGTTGGCTCAAGTCATTGTGCGTGCTGTTCAGTTCAGCATGGCTGAAATTCAGGCTCGGCTGTACCGGGGCCAGGCAAAGATACGAGAGATAAGAGCAAGCATGTGTCTTACTTGATTTGAAAACTCCTTCGGCTCCTGTTCTTTGAAGCTGGCTCCTTCCTCAGGGCCTCTTGTTTGCAACCTTCTTCGCGCGATTGCCTCTTACTTGTGTAAAGAAGTTATCTTAGGCTTGATGGTTTAAGGGCCACTTGCAATCCAAGGCCTTTACCCTTTGAGCTGGGAATAGTTTGGTTAGGTGAACCGCCCTTGCTAATATAAAAGGCAAAGGCTTTAATTTGAGAATTTCAGCGACCCCCAAAATAATAGTTGGGCACTAAAAGCTTACTTTTTTGAAAGAAGTTATCTTAACATTGATGGCTTGGGGACCACTTCAAAAAAGGAATTCCTAATGTTTGCCCGGATTGTTTCCCGGCAATTTTTCCGGCAAAGAACAAGCAACAATTGAGGACCCCAAAGCCGTCAAGATCCGAAGCGAAAGAAGTAGTTTTTAGCACGAATCAATCTTTGCAGACAATCATAAATCAACATTACAGGCAAAGCAAATGTTTCCGAAGAAAACAAAAGCATTGAATTGAGTGCACCTGCGCATCTGTGGCTCAGGTTTATGCATGGGCCGTATGTTGCATGAGCTTGTATGTTGCGCTCTTGGTTGTCGGGAGTTGGGGTGGTTGGCTGTATTCACTACATTTCACAGCTGGCAAGCTGTGCCAGGGCCTCAATGACTTCCAGCTCTTCCGCGCCTGTGGTCCCCTGTACCCGGCTTTCGCCATTGAAAGCCTGACCAGCTGCTCAGCTCAGCTTGGTCAGACTATTTGCCCAAAACATGTTTGCGCTCCTGCGCTCCTTTCCTGGAGAAATGCACAAGATAGTGAGTTCAGGGGCAACTATGGCCCTACAGCACCGACAAGTCGAGCACGTTTGCTTCCGAGCAACACTTCTAGCAACACTTCTGGTTGACACTGCTGATCGACACTCTGAGCAGCACTTCCGATCAACGCTGCTGACCGACACTTCTGAGCAACACTTCTGAGCAACGCTTCTGACCGACACTTCTGAGCGACAACTCTGATCAACACCTATGATGCACACTCCTGAGCGACACTTCTGAGCAACACTTCTGAGCAACGCTTCTGACCGACACTTCTGAGCGACAACTCTCAACACCTATGATGCACACTCCTGAGCGACACTTCTGAGCAACTCTTTTCAGCCACACTTCGGATCGGCACTTCGGAGCAACACTTCTGAGCAACACTTGTTATCGACACTTCTGAGCGACGCATCTTAGCAACACTTCTGATCCACAGTTCTGCTCGACACTTCTGCTCGATAGTTCTGACCAATACGTCACTGCTGGTCGACACGTCCAATCGAAACTCCTGCTCGACGCTTCTGAGCGCCACTTCTGAGCAACATTTCTGAGAGACGAGGCGCATCTTAGAAACACTTCTTTTTGACAGTTCTGCTCGACACTTCCGATCGATGAGAAACACTTCTGAGCGACACTTCTGAGCAACACTTCTGATCGACACTTCTGAGCATCGCTTCTGATCGACACAGCCGATCGACAGTTAAGCGATCGACACTTCTGGCCGACACTTCTGACCGACACTTCTGAGCCACACGTCCGAGCGACGCGACCGCATGTTGGCAACACTTCTGATCGACATTTCTGCTCGACACTTCTGGTCGATGAGAAAACACTTCTGAGCGACAAATCTGAGCAACACCTCTGAGAGATGCGACACTTCTGAGCAAGACTTCTGATCAACACTTCTGAGCGTTACTTCTGATGAACACTGCTGAGCATGCTGAGCGACACTTTCTGAGCAATTCTTCTGAGCAACGCAGCACCCACCTACACTTCTAAGCGACACTTTTGAGCGGCGCTTCTGAACGACACTTCCAGTCGACACTGCTGATCGACACTGCTGAGGGACAACGACACTTCTAAGAGGCACATTTGCGCAAGATTTGTATTCGACACCTCTGAGAAGCACTTCTGATCGACACATCTGAGCGACACTTCTGAGCGACACATTTGAGAAACGCAGCTTGTCACCAAAATGCGCAGAGAGCACTTTGCATTCGCACAACGCGCTCTGCGCCACAGCGAGAGCGACTCGGCCCACCCAAAGTGCGCAGAGGGTTTACTTTGCGAGCTCAAAATGCGCACCTCGCAACATCACCGTGAAACCTTTCTGAAATGGAATGGCAATGAATCTCTGCGAAAGGTGCGTTCGAAACACATCAAAACGAACCGATTATATACAACAAAGCCAACGAAAAGCTCGAGCAAACGCTTGCGTGCGCATTCCAAGCAAAACACCTCAAAACGAGACCCCCCCAATGGATTTGCAACGCGAACGTGAGCTGCGCATCGAAACGACATCGAACATGCCAACAGCTACGATTCCTGCACCGGGTTCACAAGAACAGCGCATCGCAAGTCATCCAAATCACGCGTTCAACGCTATCCCAACGGCACGGAATGTCGGACCCGCGACGACATCGCGCCGACACCGCGACGACACGAGGAGCCGACCAACACGACGCGAACAAGGGCCCAACCCCCAGACCCCCACACAATAAACGGGAACCCTGGGCTGCGCGTTTGCGAAAAAGTGTTCAGAGTGCGGCTATTGAGCAACACCAATGGCAAACACCTCTCCAGCAGGAAAAAGCGGTCAGAATGCAAATGCTGAGTAAGACCCTACAAAGGGAACCTAACCTCTCCCGCTCAGGTGGCCCCTGATAAGCACATTGACATCTGGGGAGTTTGGCTAAGTTCATTTGGCTTCCAGAGAGTTTAGAATTGGCACAGTATTGCGCTAGCAATTTGTTTGGGTCGGGTGAAGGGTTTTTTATTATTTGGGGTCCGTTTAACATGGGAATGAGGGATTGTCACCCCTTCCCCCTGCATTCACCTGAGGCATTCTGCTCGGCGTCTTCTTTTGCTACTTGGCCCTGCGCATCACTGTGCGCACTGAGCCTTGGCCAGGTGGTGCGGGAATTTGTGCTTGCCAGCGCTCTTGCCACGGTATTTTGCTCACGTGAAACAAGCGGACCGCTGTGAAACGACAGTTATATGAATATCCTCATCGTTTGTGCATTCTTCTTGGGTGTAGGTGGCACATTCTGGCATGGCCTTGTTGGTCCAAGGATGTGAATGCACCAGTGATGTCCATGTTGCGCTGGATGAGGGACTCCCTCAGGGAGCCCCTTGGGTATTGGTGGCAGGCGCGGGCAGCCATGCTTTCTCACAGCCATGCCCCGTTTGAGAGCCACGTTTGCAGTTGGAATTTGGCAATTTGCGCGTGTGGCCATGTTCGATTGCTACGATCTGAGAAGCATGACAATCGCGTTGCTTGCCAACTGAACCCTGCGGGCGCACTGCTGTGTGCAGGAAATGAAGACGTGGCCAGAAATGAACAAACGCCCCTTGGCCGAGCCTTGGCAAACACATGATGGGCATCGTGCGTACTTGGGGCTGGCTTACTTGTTGAATTGGCCGCCCTTGTGATTTCAGCGCAGTCTCCGAGTTGCTTAATGGAATGGTTGGCTCTCAGCAATCGGGTGCAAGCCAAGCTGAAGAATCCCAGCCATGGGAAAGCTTGCTAGCGTGTTTCAAGACGGCTATGCTAATCTCAGGCATCGAGGCGCCATTGATTTGCTCGCATGCTAGAAAGGTGGCGAAGGAATTGCAGAGAATCACGACAACGGAGGTTTCGCTTGGGACCCTTAAGCCACCAACCGTTTTGCCTATTGACAATGCATGACAACGAAGCCGACAGGGAACCGCTTCACTCGGAAGTGGAGCGGAAGTGGAGCTGGTGAGTCAAGAGCTTGTAAGCAACTGGATTTTCACAAAAGCCACCTGCACCTGGACACACCATCTCACAAGTTGTGGTCGTTGATTTGTTTTGGCTGCCACTCCGCGTACGATTTTGCTGTCCCCCCTCCGCCCAGTTGATGTGACATCATCTCAGGACCGCATCAAGATATGCCGACTGCTGAACCTCGCGATGTGCATTGCACAGGCAGCTGCTGCTTTCTTTACGGTGCTCCGATGGCTGCACATCCAAAACGTGATGCTTGGCTTGGGTCATTCATAGCGGGTGGCAAGCGTGATTCCAATGCTCAACCCATTGTGCTGCTTTAAACAGCAGTTTTTTTTGCAGAACCAGTGAGCCCCGAGCTCTTTTATCCCTCAGGTTTGTGCTTTCACTGCGTTTGTGTGCTTTTGTGGCTTTTGGCGGTTTCTGCAGCTCTGGTTTTGATAGTGTTTGTAACCCACTGTAAACAAAACCAGCGCTAAAATCATCCCAAACCCCCAAAAAGTCAACCCGACACGTCCCCACACAAACCCCAAGCAAACCCAAAAACCAACCCTAAACTCACACCCGAAACCAACCCTAAACAAATTGACGTAAACCAGCCATAAACCAGCACTACACCATCCCTAAACCGACTCTAAACCAGCCCTAAACCCGCCCCTAAACCAGCCCAAAGCCTACCCAAGCCAGCACAAAGCCTACCCAAAACCCGAAACCCTCCCACCTAAATCAGCCCCCAAGCCCATCCGAAACCAGCGCTAAACCAACCCCAAACCTTTGCTATGCCAACCACAAGCCAACCTAAACCAACCGGAAACCCACCCTAAAGAAACCCAAGCCTCGCCAAAACCCACCCTAAAGAAACCCAAGCCTCGCCAAAACCCACCCTAAACAATCCTTGAACCCACCCTAAACTCAGTCTAAACCAAAGCTTCTGGTAATGCCGTGAGTGTTGAAAACCATCAGATGTTGATGGTGCTGGTGTAAAACAGGTGCATTGCGCTAGCAAATGCTGCAACACACGTCATTTTAACGCCTGCCGAACCTAGCCCGCCGAACCTAGGAAAATAAAAACCTCTTCTGCCCCGTTGAGTTCTGGCAGGCATGTTTTCAGCTAAATATTAGTTGAGCATTGAATCGGGCGACAAATCAGTGCTGGGGTTTTCACTAAGCCCGCCCCCCCCCCCCCCAACGCACAAGGCACAAGGCATCCAGCCGTATTGACGGTGGCGTCAGGCATCTCAAAATGGCCTCCTCTGAGGAACTGCGTGCAGTCCAAGCACATGATTGTTCACAGCATCCAGAGGTGCAAATGTCTACACGTAATGTCAAGATGGTTTTTTCCAGGAACGGTTTGCGCTACCTCGGCTATGCCTTCACCTGCGCGTTGATGCAGGCAGAGCTTGTGGTGCTGATTGCCCCCTACGCACCCTGCCATGCACCAGCTCAGCATGTAACCAGGCCCATTCCAGGCATTTTTGGGCGCTACAAAGAGCGCGTAAGGCTTTCTTAATGTGTTGGCCGTTGAAACTGGAACTCGGAGAACATTACTTCTGTGGCCAGAAAGAAATTTTACGAGTTGCACACGCTTGCGGCAACACGATTGTTCTTCGTAATCTCGGTTCTGATCCACGTGACCATTGTCTCAGAGCGGCAAGAAACAAAGCATGTGCTGCATCACCGTGCTTGATCAAGGTGCCTTGCTACAAGTTCAACGTGGTTGCCGTGGTCATTTTTACGCACTTGTGGCTGGTCCTGGGCTGGATCGGCTCGCTGCAAGCGGGCTTTCTCTTCGAAGATGCTAGCTGGGAATCGTTCGTGGAGAAACTCGACTGATCAACTGAGGCAAGGCGATGCTTCAGCATTGTGCCTTTGAAAGGACAGCTCAGCTGAATTGCATTGAGAGCGGACACAGCACACAGCCCACGGCGCCCCCAGCTCAAAGCCTTCTGCACACGTCAGCAACACATGTGCTCAGCCATTTTGCTATACGTTATGTTTGTTCCACTGCGTGGGCCACTGCAAGCATCGATTCCATGCCTACGCAGTTGTTTCTTTGGCAGCTTTGTGCTTTGCTCAGGAACTATGATTTCAACTTGCTGATCGTGACCAATAAAGGCTTGCTCATTGCCGCGACAGCGGTTGGCCTGTGTGGCTTGATGTTCGTGCAGATGCCATTCCTCTCGCTGATTTACTTCATCAAGGGCGGCTACAAGGCTCATCCAGACCTTCCGTACTACTACATGCGCCTCATGATGACGGCTCCACGGCGCAGACTTGCCAGAAACAGCTAGCCAGCTTAGAGCTTTGCTGAGAGACTTGCAATTCCATGTGAAACACTGGTTGGCGTAGAGCAATGTGGGCGCGCGTCTTGCAGCACGTGTCAATCTCTTCGTTGGACTGCCACACCCCTGGCCTTGCACGTGTTATTTGCATGGTGCCAGGCACTGTTGCCTGACGCCTGTGTGAATGAGTGAGTGCTTGGTGGTTTTGTGCCCAGTTATGAGGGCATGTTTTTTCCACAACTGCACATATATTTTTTATAAATATGTATGGCATCGGCCCCCTTGAACATAGAGACGTGCGGGTATGGGGGAATCGTTTAGGGTTGGGTTTGCTGGGATGAGAAACAGGCTCTGACCCTTTCCAGGCCCAGGCAATAGCGGGTTGAGGGCTCACTTGGGGGGGGCCGGCCCTCATCTCCACAGCGGGCTGAGGTCTGGTTCACTTGGCCGGCCTTCCCTGCCTGGTGGTTGGTGTCCGCGGAGGGTTTGGGCCTCCTGGCGGATGCCAAGTCCAACTCTGTGGGCTTCGCCATCCTCAACTGCATCTCCAAGGCCGGCTGATCAGACCGCAGAAGCCGCAAAGAGTTCACAAGCGTTGGGATTTCCCCACTGGTTGCTGGCGTGGCATTTGTTTGAAGGGCAGGCTTGACATGTTCTGCCTGTGTCTTCGCTCCTGCCGGCCCATCAGGGCTCCTTCACCTATTACATGCTGAAGACCGGGGCAGACCATAAGAAGCGTTGGGCCAAGCCGCAGGGCGACGCAAGCAAACCCGTGGAGGCCAACTGGATGGTGAGAAATCTCAAGAGCTACGACTCCCAGGGTGTGCTGAATGTGAAGGCCGGGCATTGCAAGGTGCCTTCGCTGGAGCGCTCGGTAGCTTGAGCCTTTCTGCAATCCTCCTCCCCAACACAAGCTGGATTAGGGAGGGTGGCCCTCTAGGCAGCCTCTGGCTTGCGGATCTGAAAGCCAGCACCAGCTTGGCTACGTCTGGGCCGTTGAGTGCTTCCGTTTGCACCCATGGAGGCGGAGCACTCTCTTGCCGAAGGCGCGAAGGATGAGCCGGAGAATGCGGAGCAAACTTGGGTCTGAACGACATGCGTCGAATGTCAGTGCCAGGGAGCCCTTTCCTTAGGTGTTACAACGTTTATTGACGTCCTCCATGAGTATGTATGTATACATATATATATATATATATATGTATATATTCATATATACACGCTTGTGTGTGTCTTTATAAATATAGATCGTCTAGTCTTGTTGTGTCATGTATTTTACAACAATACTTTACCTGCTCTATCTAGCCATCCATCTATCCATCCATGACATCCATCTATGTATCTATGTATCCATTTATCCATCTATCCATCCATCCATCCATCCATCCATCCATCCATCCATTTGTCTATTTGCCGATCTATCTATGTGTTTGTCTGCCTGCCTGCCTCTCTGTCGACTGCAACAAGCTTGCAGATACAATATGATTTACTCCGTCGGCTCCTAAGTTAGAATATAATTTACTCCGAACAACACAACAATCACAGATAGAATGCAGATTATAGTTAGGGTATATGCTGGGGAAAACATGTGACAGCTAGAATAAGTCGAATGTGCGCAAATCCCTGGAATTTGAACACTGTTTTAGGTGGCCAGCAGATAGAATATGTTTTGACAGATAGTACAGCTGCAAGGTCTGAAAAATGACATCGGAAAGGAGGTATTGGCAATAGTCAATTTTGTATGTCTTTCAGATAGAATAGTTCAGCAAGGGCCGCATGGTGTTTCAAAAGAATCCTGATAACAACGCGCTTCTCGAATTGCTTTAGACTGCCAGGACTAAATTAATATTGCCAGTACTTAGTTTAGCATTGCCGATATTTAAAACTAGTATCGCTAATATTAAGTCTAGTACTTTTCAATAAGGATTTGAACTGTTTAAACTCCTGACAAAAATTGTTTTGGCTTCGAGAAGTAGAGGGGCGGGGTAGCTCCAAACTTTTTCATTGAAAGCTCAAAGATAGAAACTTTGGAAGTGCACGCGGGCGATGCAAACGAGTACTCCGAGCCAGGACTAAATTTAGTATTGCCAGTACTAGTTTGAGCATTGCCAAAAATGCATTTTTAATTGCCAGTGCTAATTTTAGCACTGCCAATCGTAAAGTTAGTATTGGCAGCACTATATGTACTATTGCCGGTACTGAATGTACGTGGCATTGCCAATATAAACTTTGGATTGCCAATACTAAACCTAGTACATTTTAGCCAGGATTGGAACTGTTCAAATTCCTTATTAAAAAATTAAATCCTGGAAGGTGTTTTGGATTCAAGAAGGGGGGGTAGCTCCGAGTACAAACTGTCGCACTGCGAGTACAAAATTTTGAGTATTGCCACTAGTCAGTTAAGAATGCCAGCACTATTTTAATAGTGCCAACAGTAAGTTTGGGCATTGCAGGTACTAATTGCAGCATTGCCAATAGTCAACGTAGTTTTTTTTCAGAATAGCTCAGCAAGGGCCGCATGGTTTTCAAAAGAACCTTGTTCTGATATCAGCACAACTGCCACGCAGATTTCGTAGTTGACACATTTGTTCTTTTTGTCTGATCCCCAAGAAGGGTGTTCCACTTCCGCGGGAAAATCAATATTTGGGATTAGTCAAACTGTCTCGTTTATTCATCTTTGGGCTCGGTACCAGAATAGGTTCCCGGCCCAAAAACAATTATTCTAACTGAGCCTCCCCCCTGGTGTTCATGTATCTTTTGGGCTCGGTACCGTTTGGGGTTGGGTTAAAGGGAAAGGAAGGCCACCCCTTTTTGGAATATACTGTAGTACCCTCAGAAAATAATCGAGCCAAATTTGCTATCCTCTATAGAATACATATATTTGTATATACATACATATATGCATACGATTAGTCGCCTGATGAAGGTTTCCCGGCCCAAAAACAAGTATTCTAACTGCCCCCCCTCCCCCCCCCTTTCACATGGTTCATGTATCTTTTGGGCTCGGTACCGTTTGGGGTTGGGCTAAGGGGAAAGGAAGGCACCCAACAATTTGTCTAGTTGTACACATGTATATATATATATATAGATATATTATACATACAGTATTTGTGTGTGTGCATGTGATTAATCACCTGATGAAAGTTTGAGCTTGTGAGCTTCGAAAAAATGGAGAATCCATGCGTTCGTTTGGTAAATGGGCGATGTCTTTTTTGGGGGGGGCCCTCAAAATGGGGTTTCCTTTTGGTTTTGCTTTGAGCCAGCATGGGACCAACATGATTTCCCGGGAACCGCATACACCCTTGTTCCCCTGCGCAAGTCTCATGGTGCTTTCAGACCTTGGTGGGCATGCTGACTGTGGGCTCGTAGGGTATGTTTGCAAAGGGGCCTCAGAAGGCCAATGGCTTTTGTATCGTTGACCTTCTCAACTGGATAATTTTTCTGCAGGAGTGCAAGAGGCCCAGCGAGGCTCTGTAAAGCAACGAGCTAGCCGCTAGAACATCCCTTTTTTGTCTTCTAACTGTATGTTTTTCAGACCTTTAAATTTGCAAGTTTATTGCTTCAACACAAATATTCTATCTGCTAGCCCATCACTATATCTAGCTCTCTATCTAGTCCAAGTTCTTCAAGTCTAAGCTAATCCAACCTAATTCACCTGTATGATTGCATCTCATCTAGTCTACCAAGAGTATCCCGTCCTTTCTTTTGTCCTTTCCTCATCCCTGCATACATCCCAAATTGGAATACAAGAAAGAGCAAAGGAGTATTGATGAATATCATCTATCGAATCGTTGAGTACTGCCTCGCATGTTAGAAGCGGCCGGTCCGTGCAAAGGCACTATCAGCGACATACAGCAAAGAGAAACAGAGACATGCCAGCTTAGCTTGCATCCATGTACTTCACCGGGCACCCTTGCACAGCAACATGCCCTTTGAGAACTATTTGCTCCCCAAGCACGTCATGAAGAGCAGGCAGGCAGGGACAGACAGACACAGACACAGAGACACAGACACAGACGCAGACGCAGACAGACCGAGGGACAGACGGACAAACAGGAGGGCAAGTTTTGGTGCACAACCTTGTGGGTCGCAGCCCCACGGAACATGGAACATCATCGCTGCCAGGCATGGAGAAGTCAAGGTGGCAAGGTGTCAGCCCTTTAGCCTAGTTGAACTCACCCAGGTAAGGGGGCAACAGACAACAGATTGTGAATGGTGCAGGCCTGTACCGTATGCAAAGAAGATAGGGGATCACAGGCCTCCTGTCAATGGAAACAAGCAGCGCACCTGTTCCCTGTACCGTATGCAAAGAAGGTCAAAGAAAGGCATGACAACCCAACTGCTAAAGTTGCTAAACCATTGTTTGAGACAGCCGCATCGGATCGTTGATTGCTTGGCACCCACCGCGCTGTGTCGGAGACTCAAGCTAGCATCCGTCTACCCGTGCCAACTGTGCAGGGACCTTGGCACGAGCACGAGAATGGCCCAAGTTCCAACCCCCACACACGCATCATATGCTGCCTGCTTCGGCTTGGCGTGTCATTGTTTCCTGAAATTCCATTGCATGAGGCCTGAGGTGATGCAGGAGCTAATGCAGTGTACCACCAAGCGTGCGCCCCCGAGATTGTACCCAAAACGACATTCCCGCATCAGAAATTGCAATGCAACAGAGGGGCAAGTGGCCTGATGTCTCGGGGCGGTCTCGTGCAACAGTTTTTTATCACGTGCTGCCTTTGCCTCAGCAGCTTTAAAACGCTGGCGCATCTGGCAGGCAGCCGGCAGGCACTTCATTTTTTTTAAACTCAATCCAAGTGGGGTCAGGTTGTTTGGCCCGACCCGGTGCGGGTCACTGCTCCTGGGACTCGAAGGTGAAACGTTCCTCCCAGATGTGGGTGCCCTCACCAATTAGCCAGCCAAAATGTGGGGTGTTTTGAGATCAATACATGCGCTCTTTATCGCTCCGTGTGTTTTTCCATGTTCAGCACGCATCAGGCTGGCGACCTCACGGAGGGGTGGGTCCCTTTTCCCGCTCGTTGCTTCACTACCTTCGAGCGACCACTCATGCCCATTGCCGATGCACACAAAGTGTTGGGCTTGCCAGTGGTGCTAATCTTGGGCCTGATGGATTGGACGAACATGGTCTTTTCCGAGTCTTTCAAAAAGTCAAACTGTGCTTGATTAGCCGTGACGCGTTCTTGCAACTTATAACCCAGGCACTTCCGCAAAGCTGCCGGATTCAATGTTGAGCTTCACAGGAGAATTTCGCTCTGAGACGGGCTGGCGAGCTGGAAGTGCTGCACTGCCTTTTTAAGCGCATTTCTTCGTGGAAAGGCCCAAAGCAGCTTTAAAGGCTGATGCCGCACATTGGGCGCGGCCAGTCAAGAGGCTGTTCTGGTGCCACACAATGAATCACAAAGTTTTGCGAGCCATCTCAAAGATTTGGCAGAGCGAAAAGGAGGAAATCGAGACTTCAAAGGCCTGGCTTGGTTGGATTTGTCTCTGAGACCGCTTGCTTTTCGTCAGAGAACAAGTTGGCCAAACGGTGGGGAGTCAAGGACCGCCGCAAGAAGTTTTGGCTTCAGCCTCGTCCCTGCTTGGGAGCTATGGCGAACCTTGAGGCAGGCGTCCTGGGTCCAAAGATGCAATTATATACAATTTGTGGAGCAGGGACGGACTTGCGAAGCCTGGTTCGCAATTGCTTCCACACGTTTATGGGGCTCAGGGTTCGGCAAGTGGTCTTTTCTTTCAGGTGGGTTCAGGTACGTTCAGGTGTTAGAGCGTGCTAGCGAAGAGGCGATTGAACTGCTGGATGCACTTCAAAGCAAGACCACTTACTTGTGCAGCTAGGGGATCAACATCTCTTAAATGTAATGTTGGACCCTCTTTAATGCGACCCCCCCCCCCCCGGAACCAGTCAGCTGGACCCTCTTTGGCAAAATTTCTGGGGTCTGGGGAGTTATCTTAAATTTGATGGTTTGGGAGCAACTTGCAAAATGGACTAGGTCTCAGGCCTTTAACTTTTGAGCTGGGGAGAGCTTCAGCACCCCGAAACCAGCTGGACACGAAAGAGGACCCCAAAACAGTCACATTAAAGAGGATCTGGGCCCCTTCAGGCCCCTTTGTGCGACGGTTTGCCCGCACGTATTTGT